TGATTGGTTAATTATCACGGGAAATCACGGGTAGATCTACAAAAATTAACCAATCAAACGAAAGTCTTCCTATGACCCCCTTACTCTAACCACTATCTTGAATTTTTACCTTTTTGACGCAGTTATGTTTAGTGTTTATATAGATATCAAGAATGTAGTTTATGCAGCATGTAGATCATATGGGGCGTGTCAAGCAAAAACACGGCTTATGGCATTTTTTGCAAAAATGAGTTTTGTCGATACCTTCTTTTTTTAAATCTTGTATACGATTAGCTGTGATCTAAAATTAGGGGACGTCTAAAGCCTGGCACCTTCCGGTTTCCGATTTTTAATTAATATTAGGGTTAGAGTTAAACATAGGCTAGGAGGTTAGTAGATATATAGTAAAATCGCATTTCCGACACTTTAACTAGTGCCATTTTTTATATTTTCGTCAGGCCCCTAAAATTAGAATTTAGAGATCCAACAGATTATTAACAGATTATACTAATAATAGATCGTCTTAAATTTGATGCACCCCATATCCCTAAATGCTGAAATGGCGTTTGTGTGTCTGCTTTCTGCATTTTGATTGGTTACTTCTTAGACACATGACCATGAGTGTTACACGAATATGTAAATCAACTCACGCAGCAAAGGTACAGTTACTAGTAACCTCTAAAAATATCAAAAATGCTATATAGTATTTTATAATATCGGTATTGAGAGTCCCACAGCCTCACCATACTGCTTTCTTAAAGATGTCTAACAACGACCGATCAGAAGACGCTTTTAATGATAAAGTAAAAAATGTTGCGACATCTCGCTCAAAATGGCATGTTCCTGCCTCAATCGTATCTAAACGAACCATTAATCCAATTCGTGAAACGATTTATAAAATGCATGCTAAACCAAATCCTGGCAAAGAACTTATCTCTTTAGCATTAGGTAATTTTAGAATAGTTTTTATTCAAATTTAGAAATGTCTAATCTCCAATAAATAGGTGATCCAACTCGTTTCGGAAATTTCAAAATTCATGAGAATTGCATTGACGCCGTAATAAAGCAACTACAATCTTATAAAGCGAATGGATACCCACCTGCGATTGGTAATGAGTCCTTACACATTTCAAATATTTTATTTAAATAGAGCTGATGACTTTAACGTTTTGTTAAGGTTATGAAGAGGCACGAAAAGCTCTAGCTAAAAAGTTTTCAACAGAAGAAGCGCCATTAACTTCAAGGGTATGCTTAATTTTGTAATTAACCAAGTATGTTAATTATATTAAAATTCATTGCATCTTGCAAATTAGGATGTCGTAATAGGTAGTGGTGCTTCGGATGCATTGAATCTTGCGATCAGTGCTCTGTGTAACGAAGGTCAAAACATCCTTTTACCTAGACCTGGATTTTCAATATATGAGACAATTTCCTATTCTAAAGGCATTGAATGCCGGTATTATAATCTATTGGTAATTGACATTATTACAAAAAATATATACATATATATACATATATATATATATGAGTGCCGCCAAGGGAAACCTGACTTCGGACTTTCAATTATATTTTGTGTAGAGTTAGTCGTCTATGAACAATCTATCATTATGATGGATTTTTCATAGACGGCTAACTGTACACAAAATATAATTGAAAGTCCGAAGTCAGGTTTTCTCTTAGCGGCACCCATATACACATACATATTTTGTCTCTTACATTATATCTATCTTCTAGCCCGATTGCAACTGGGAAATCGATCTTGATCAACTAGTTACACTAATCGATGACAAAACAGCTTGTATTTTAATAAATAATCCTTCTAATCCTTGTGGTTCAAACTTTAGTCGTCATCATCTCGAATTAATACTTCAAATTTGTGAAACTTACAAACTTGTAATAATCGCTGATGAGATCTACGAAGATATGGTTTTTGGTTCGACAAAGTTCTTTCCTATTGCTTCATTAACAAAAACCGTTCCGATCTTGAAAGTCAGTGGATTAGCAAAGCGTTATCTTGTGCCTGGGTGGAGAGTTGGTTGGATTTTTGTTTATGATCAAAATGGAATCTTGGATGAAATTCGTGATGCTTTATTTTCACTCTCAAATCTTATATTGGGCGCAAACAGTTTAATCCAATATTCTATCCCTGATATTATTTTTAATACACCCAATGAATTTTATGAGGATACAAATAATAAATTAGAACATAATGCTTCAATTTCTGCTAGTGTTTTATCAAAAATTCGAGGATTACATGTTATCGTACCACAAGGTGCAATGTATATGATGGTTGGAATTAATGTTGAAGAGTTTAAAGATATCAAGGATGATTTGGAATTCACTGAGAAATTACTTGAAGAAGAATCTGTTATGTGTTTACCTGGCAGGGTAAGTTCTTTTTCATATTTATTATATGAATGGCAAAGGATTATGTAAACGGATAGTGTGAACTAAGTCAATAATTTTTCATAATGTAGTGTTTCCATTATCCTAATTACAGTAAGCAATTAAGCATGTTGATCATCATATCGCGTATTACGTTTCACTGCCTAACAAACAATTTCTAACTTTATTTAGTACGAATAGTTATTGCACCACCTCCGGAAAAATTAAAGGAGGCATATGGCAGAATTAGTGAATTTTGTATTAGGCATCATATTTAAGCATAACTTGTATTTTTATTTTTATTTTTTTTATTGAAAAAGCTATTTATTTCTTTTTTATTATGCTACCAAATTGTGTAGCTTTTTTATATTACAAATAGGTTTTTTTTCTGGTTAATCACTATCCTTAGGTAAATATTATCATTTGTACATCATATTTCCTACGGGATGACTTCGAATTTATTAAATGACTACGAGAAGCTGTAAAATAAAAATAATATTAGTAAATTGGTATATAAATGATAAGTGTAAAGTCAAGATACAACAATTAAAGTTAAAATAATCATTAAGAAAAATTTAAAATGGTAAACTCATTAAAATGTTACATGTATGAACTCAAATTTAGAAAAAATAAAATAAAATAAAATAAATAAATAAAAATCTTGAATACTGTGTCATGCACACAATGATTTAATTGATTGAATTACTACTTTTCTGTAAATAGTCATTTTTTTTTTGTAATGTTAAATGTAAAATATTTAAAGAATTGCCATTTATAGTCATCCAACATAGTTATACATGGAAATTCAAAGGATGTGAAAAGGTCAAATAAGACTAGAAATATTTTGGCTATAAGTTTGAAAAAAAATGTCTATTGCACATATAGTGAAAAAATCATCAAAATTTTCGGTGCTTCGAAAATGTATTTGTACGATCATCTGCTAATAGTTTGCAGGATGTTCGTCGTAAGAAAAGGTAGGGAAAAAAAATTAAGATAGAATTGGCACACGGCGTTGTTAAGTAGCAAAGGTGAACAGTCCGTCTATTCAATATAATACAGTTTGCAATAACCTTTCCAATCCTTACTAACCGTGACTAATCCAAAGGTTCAGAATCTAAATCCATTGAATCATGATTATCACGATCCTGCTGTCGATTTTGTTGGCCATTGTTTGATTGACTTCCGGGGTATGCTCCAGGAAGTGAAGAGCTGGATGTGAATCGAAATGCTGATGTAGATGGTCCGTTGTTTTGATTGTTACTCGATGATCCGGCACCATTGTTGCGATTTTGATCATTTTGTTGACTGTTTTCCTGATTGACCAATGAATACCGACTAGCATAACCCAAATAAAATGATTAACATATTATTGATATATATGTATGTACACAAACAATCTGATTAAGCATAAATTATAGTACCATACTGGGCAAGTTCCATTAACTTTTAACCATTGCGTTATGCAATCCTTATGAAAAGAATGGGTGCAAGGCAAAATTAACACCTCTTCATCTACTATAAATTCATCTTTGCAAACAGGACAACCCAATTGTTCTTCGGCTGTAAAATACGTTAGCGTTAGCTAGAGTCAGGTTCTATGATAATTTATATCATCATTTTCAGTTTTTAATTAAGTTACACTAACCGACTTGCTTTTTTGTAATCTTCGTCTTTGGTAAATTGTTAATGATTTCTTCAGTTGCGGGTGGTGGTGCTTGCCTTCTATTCCAACATATAAATCGAATTCATGAGAAATTTAAATAAACTGAGATCAAACAAAAATTTCATATTAATTACCCAGCTTGCTGTTCCATCAATTGCGAAATAATATTATCAAATCCTGTAGAACCCCAAGCATAATCTCTGGGATCTCCGTTTAAGTTAAATAAGTTAAAAATATTTGCCGCATTGTTTTGACCGTCTAATGCTCTTGCGAATATTCTAAAATTACAAATAAAATATTATTAATAATGAATGAAACGCTATGTGAAATAATTTTTATTTTGAACAGTTAACATTATTAACTCGAGTAGTCAGAATGTACACAAACAGGTTAATACTGTACATAAAAAAAGATCAATTGAGAATTAAACATACTGCGCAAAACCTTGAAGAGGAGCTCGACCGTCGCCAATATCTGCGCTACCACCACCCATCGCTAAGATAAAGTTCGGACGTTGTTGACCTTCTTGATCTTCTCCTGTTGTTTGTGCTGTTATTGTTGTTGTAGTGGTGTTCCCGTTTCCACTGGTTTCCGTCTGCAGTACTCGAACATTATTATGTCCTCCAGCTTGAAGAAATGATTGGAGCATATTCTGAATAAGTTGTACGACTTCACTTCCATTTGGTGGATTTCCTGTTCCTGTAAAAGTCATATTATCGTCATATTCTTCGTCCGTCTCGTGACTCATACCATGTTCAAAATCCCTTGGATCGTTTTCTCCAATCTAATTCCAATATTAGTAAGAATAAAAAAATTAC